TCAGTGTGTTGACTCTGCTGATGTGTGTTTGGGGTGTAGTTGACTGTATTTTGTTAGCTGGGCTGAATCAGTGTGTTGACTCTGCTGATGTTTTTTTGGGGTGTAGTTGACTGTATTTTGTTAGCTGGGCTGAATCAGTGTGTTGACTCTGCTGATGTGTGTTTGGGGTGTAGTTGACTGTATTTTGTTAGCTGGGCTGAATCAGTGTGTTGACTCTGCTGATGTGTGTTTGGGGTGTAGTTGACTGTATTTTGTTAGCTGGGCTGAATCAGTGTGTTGACTCTGCTGATGTGTGTTTGGGGTGTAGTTGACTGTATTTTGTTAGCTGGGCTGAATCAGTGTGTTGACTCTGCTGATGTGTGTTTGGGGTGTAGTTGACTGTATTTTGTTAGCTGGGCTGAATCAGTGTGTTGACTCTCTGCTGATGTGTGTTTGGGGTGTAGTTGACTGTATTTTGTTAGCTGGGCTGAATCAGTGTGTTGACTCTGCTGATGTGTGTTTGGGGTGTAGTTGACTGTATTTTGTTAGCTGGGCTGAATCAGTGTGTTGACTCTGCTGATGTGTGTTTGGGGTGTAGTTGACTGTATTTTGTTAGCTGGGCTGAATCAGTGTGTTGACTCTCTGCTGATGTGTGTTTGGGGTGTAGTTGACTGTATTTTGTTAGCTGGGCTGAATCAGTGTGTTGACTCTGCTGATGTGTGTTTGGGATGTAGTTGACTGTATTTTGTTAGCTGGGCTGAATCAGTGTGTTGACTCTCTGCTGATGTGTGTTTGGGGTGTAGTTGACTGTATTTTGTTAGCTGGGCTGAATCAGTGTGTTGACTCTCTGCTGATGTGTGTTTGGGGTGTAGTTGACTGTATTTTGTTAGCTGGGCTGAATCAGTGTGTTGACTGCTGATGTGTGTTTGGGGTGTAGTTGACTGTATTTTGTTAGCTGGGCTGAATCAGTGTGTTGACTGCTGATGTGTGTTTGGGGTGTAGTTGACTGTATTTTGTTAGCTGGGCTGAATCAGTGTGTTGACCATGCTGATGTGTGTTTGGGCTGTAGTTGACTGTATTTTGTTAGCTGGGCTGAATCAGTGTGTTGACTCTCTGCTGATGTGTGTTTGGGGTGTAGTTGACTGTATTTTGTTAGCTGGGCTGAATCAGTGTGTTGACTCTCTGCTGATGTGTATTTGGGGTGTAGTTGACTGTAATTTGTTAGCTGGGCTGAATCAGTGTGTTGACTCTCTGTTGATGTGTGTTTGGGGTGTAGTTGACTGTAATTTGTTAGCTGGGCTGAATCAGTGTGTTGACTCTCTGCTGATGTGTGTTTGGGGTGTAGTTGACTGTATTTTGTTAGCTGGGCTGAATCAGTGTGTTGACCCTGCTGATGTGTGTTTGGGGTGTAGTTGACTGTATTTTGTTAGCTGGGCTGAATCAGTGTGTTGACTCTGCTGATGTGTGTTTGGGGTGTAGTTGACTGTATTTTGTTAGCTGGGCTGAATCAGTGTGTTGACTCTCTGCTGATGTGTGTTTGGGGTGTAGTTGACTGTATTTTGTTAGCTGGGCTGAATCAGTGTGTTGACTCTCTGCTGATGTGTGTTTGGGGTGTAGTTGACTGTATTTTGTTAGCTGGGCTGAATCAGTGTGTTGACTCTGCTGATGTCTGTTTGGGGTGTAGTTGACTGTATTTTGTTAGCTGGGCTGAATCAGTGTGTTGACTCTCTGCTGATGTGTGTTTGGGGTGTAGTTGACTGTAATTTGTTAGCTGGGCTGAATCAGTGTTTTGACTCTGCTGATGTGTGTTTGGGGTGTAGTTGACTGTATTTTGTTAGCTGGGCTGAATCAGTGTGTTGACTCTGCTGATGTGTGTTTGGGGTGTAGTTGACTGTATTTTGTTAGCTGGGCTGAATCAGTGTGTTGACTCTCTGCTGATGTGTGTTTGGGGTGTAGTTGACTGTATTTTGTTAGCTGGACTGAATCAGTGTGTTGACTCTGCTGATGTGTGTTTGGGGTGTAGTTGACTGTATTTTGTTAGCTGGGCTGAATCAGTGTGTTGACTCTGCTGATGTGTGTTTGGGGTGTAGTTGACTGTATTTTGTTAGCTGGGCTGAATCAGTGTGTTGACTCTCTGCTGATGTCTGTTTGGGGTGTAGTTGACTGTATTTTGTTAGCTGGGCTGAATCAGTGTTTTGACTCTGCTGATGTGTGTTTGGGGTGTAGTTGACTGTATTTTGTTAGCTGGGCTGAATCAGTGTGTTGACTCTGCTGATGTGTGTTTGGGGTGTAGTTGACTGTATTTTGTTAGCTGGGCTGAATCAGTGTGTTGACTCTCTGCTGATGTCTGTTTGGGGTGTAGTTGACTGTATTTTGTTAGCTGGACTGAATCAGTGTGTTGACTCTCTGCTGATGTCTGTTTGGGGTGTAGTTGACTGTATTTTGTTAGCTGGGCTGAATCAGTGTGTTGACTCTCTGCTGATGTGTGTTTGGGGTGTAGTTGACTGTATTTTGTTAGCTGGGCTGAATCAGTGTGTTGACTCTCTGCTGATGTGTGTTTGGGGTGTAGTTGACTGTATTTTGTTAGCTGGGCTAAATCAGTGTGTTGACTCTCTGCTGATGTGTGTTTGGGGTGTAGTTGACTGTATTTTGTTAGCTGGGCTGAATCAGTGTGTTGACTCTCTGCTGATGTGTGTTTGGGATGTAGTTGACTGTATTTTGTTAGCTGGGCTGAATCAGTGTGTTGACTCTGCTGATGTGTGTTTGGGGTGTAGTTGACTGTATTTTGTTAGCTGGGCTGAATCAGTGTGTTGACTCTGCTGATGTGTGTTTGGGGTGTAGTTGACTGTATTTTGTTAGCTGGGCTGAATCAGTGTGTTGACTCTCTGCTGATGTGTGTTTGGGGTGTAGTTGACTGTAATTTGTTAGCTGGGCTGAATCAGTGTGTTGACTCTGCTGATGTGTGTTTGGGGTGTAGTTGACTGTATTTTGTTAGCTGGGCTGAATCAGTGTGTTGACTCTCTGCTGATGTGTGTTTGGGGTGTAGTTGACTGTATTTTGTTAGCTGGGCTGAATCAGTGTGTTGACTCTGCTGATGTGTGTTTGGGGTGTAGCCTAGTTGACTGTATTTTGTTAGCTGGGCTGAATCAGTGTGTTGACTCTGCTGATGTGTGTTTGGGGTGTAGTTGACTGTATTTTGTTAGCTGGGCTGAATCAGTGTGTTGACTCTCTGCTGATGTGTGTTTGGGGTGTAGTTGACTGTATTTTGTTAGCTGGGCTGAATCAGTGTGTTGACTCTCTGCTGATGTGTGTTTGGGGTGTAGTTGACTGTATTTTGTTAGCTGGGCTGAATCAGTGTGTTGACTCTCTGCTGATGTGTGTTTGGGGTGTAGTTGACTGTATTTTGTTAGCTGGGCTGAATCAGTGTGTTGACTCTGCTGATGTGTGTTTGGGGTGTAGTCGACTGTATTTTGTTAGCTGGGCTGAATCAGTGTGTTGACTCTCTGCTGATGTGTGTTTGGGGTGTAGTTGACTGTATTTTGTTAGCTGGGTTGAATCAGTGTGTTGACTGCTGATGTGTGTTTGGGGTGTAGTTGACTGTATTTTGTTAGCTGGGCTGAATCAGTGTGTTGACTCTGCTGATGTGTGTTTGGGGTGTAGTTGACTGTATTTTGTTAGCTGGGCTGAATCAGTGTGTTGACTCTCTGCTGATGTGTGTTTGGGGTGTAGTTGACTGTATTTTGTTAGCTGGGCTGAATCAGTGTGTTGACTCTGCTGATGTGTGTTTGGGGTGTAGTTGACTGTATTTTGTTAGCTGGGCTGAATCAGTGTGTTGACTCTCTGCTGATGTGTGTTTGGGGTGTAGTTGACTGTATTTTGTTAGCTGGGCTGAATCACTGTGTTGACTCTGCTGATGTGTGTTTGGGGTGTAGTTGACTGTATTTTGTTAGCTGGGCTGAATCAGTGTGTTGTTGACTCTGCTGATGTGTGTTTGGGGTGTAGTTGACTGTATTTTGTTAGCTGGGCTGAATCAGTGTGTTGACTCTGCTGATGTGTGTTTGGGGTGTAGTTGACTGTATTTTGTTAGCTGGGCTGAATCAGTGTGTTGTTGACTCTGCTGATGTGTGTTTGGGGTGTAGTTGACTGTATTTTGTTAGCTGGGCTGAATCAGTGTGTTGACTCTCTGCTGATGTGTGTTTGGGGTGTAGTTGACTGTATTTTGTTAGCTGGGCTGAATCAGTGTGTTGACTCTGCTGATGTGTGTTTGGGGTGTAGTTGACTGTATTTTGTTAGCTGGGCTGAATCAGTGTGTTGACTCTGCTGATGTGTGTTTGGGGTGTAGTTGACTGTATTTTGTTAGCTGGGCTGAATCAGTGTGTTGACTCTCTGCTGATGTGTGTTTGGGGTGTAGTTGACTGTATTTTGTTAGCTGGGCTGAATCACTGTGTTGACTCTGCTGATGTGTGTTTGGGGTGTAGTTGACTGTATTTTGTTAGCTGGGCTGAATCAGTGTGTTGACTCTGCTGATGTGTGTTTGGGGTGTAGTTGACTGTATTTTGTTAGCTGGGCTGAATCAGTGTGTTGACTCTGCTGATGTGTGTTTGGGGTGTAGTTGACTGTATTTTGTTAGCTGGGCTGAATCAGTGTGTTGACTCTGCTGATGTGTGTTTGGGGTGTAGTTGACTGTATTTTGTTAGCTGGGCTGAATCAGTGTGTTGACTCTGCTGATGTGTGTTTGGGGTGTAGTTGACTGTATTTTGTTAGCTGGGCTGAATCAGTGTGTTGACTCTGCTGATGTGTGTTTGGGGTGTAGTTGACTGTATTTTGTTAGCTGGGCTGAATCAGTGTGTTGTTGACTCTGCTGATGTGTGTTTGGGGTGTAGTTGACTGTATTTTGTTAGCTGGGCTGAATCAGTGTGTTGACTCTCTGCTGATGTGTGTTTGGGGTGTAGTTGACTGTATTTTGTTAGCTGGGCTGAATCAGTGTGTTGACTCTCTGCTGATGTGTGTTTGGGCTGCAGTTGGGGCTGGCTGAGTGTTCGTGGTCTGGAGCCCATCGTCTCTCTGCTGCTCTTCTCCACCGCTCTGGCCCTTCACTCCAGACAGATGGACCTCAAACTGCGGCTCGACTTCCTCTGGGCCACTCAGGTATGCGGAGAACACCCTACTGTGCTCGGACATTATTGCACCTGTATTTCATCAGGCTAATGACTGGTGACCTATTTAAGCACCTCAGTGCAAAGTTTGTCTTTCCTTCCAAACATCTCTGAGTGTTTTGGATTATTTTTTGGACTGGATTTACCTGTGCTTGACCTTACATGATTTTTTGACTTAATTTAAGCCTTTTCCGCTTATTTGGCCTGTTTTCACGTCTGCTCTTAATGATTCCCCTTAGACTGATGTCTGATGTCTGGTAGTGATGGGAGAAAGCTTTTTCAAAGCTTCAAATCAATTAAACCAATTGCTTTGCAAAATGATTTACTGTTTCAAAACGTTTGAAGCGACAAACGCTGGTGAACCCTTCTGTTCAGAACAGTGTAAATGCAGTGAAAACTCAGGCCAAACATGCATAAAACAGCTTTTACAAACCCATTGTAAATGTTTTATTGAAAGTATAATCTATTAGATGCAATTAGTTATTTATCTAATTCCATTAAATATTAAGTGTCTGAATAATATGTATTATTTTATCGATTTTCATGGCTTGTTTTGTTTGTTCTATGGATGGCTCAGCTAAACAGGCCAATAAGAGACTATGGTAACACTTTACAGTAAGGTTCCATTAGTTAACATTAGTTAATGCATTAGTTAACATGAACTAGCCATGAACAACATCTCTGTTCAGCATTAGTTAATATTTGTTAATGTTAACTCACACATGTACTAATGCATCAATTCACATTAACAGAACGGTTAGTTAGCATTAGTTAATGCATTAGTTAACATGAACTAACCATGAACAGTGCCTGTAAACAGCTTTACTGTTTTGTAAGGTTAACTTACTGTACATATACATTAGTTTACGTAGCAGTTGACACACACTAAGAATGAACATTTCTAACTCACCATGTTACCCTAAATGTAAAAATACTGTTGTGTACCTTATCAACACTCTTTCATATATATATATAAGGCATTGATTTGTTGGTAAACATAATTCTACAGCAGAAAACAAACGTAAGTAACACATCAGTTAATGTTGAAATAGTGTAAAAAATACTTTATTAATGTTAAGTCATGTCAATAAAGAGTCTACAAATGTTAGTAACACATCAGTTAATGTTGAAATAGTGTACACTTTACACTAAATATACGTATTTGAATGTCAGTAATGGTAGTAAAGTGCGTATAAACATGAACAATATTTGTTTTCCGCTGTAGAATTATGTTTACCAACAAATCAATGCCTTATATATATGAAAGAGTGTTGATAAGGTACACAACAGTATTTTTACATTTTAGGGTAACATGGTGAGTTAGAAATGTTCATTCTTAGTGTGTGTCAACTGCTACGTAAACTAATGTAAATATGTACAGTAAGTTAACCTTACAAAACAGTAAAGCTATTTACAGGCACTGTTCATGGTTAGTTCATGTTAACTAATGCATTAACTAATGTTAACTAATGGAACCTTATTGTAAAGTGTTACCGAGACTATTAACTACTATTATTCCTTTTAATTATACAAATACCTCAGTAAAACGTCTACAAATGTATAAAATTCACCAGAGATCAGAAAATAGACACCGAGACCCTTCATACTCAGGTAATAGACATAGAGATGTGGGGGGTGATCTGTAAATCATGGGTTCACAGAGATCATCGCCTCCAGCGGGGAACCATTGACATTTCCAAACCTTTCGAAACGGTTATAACGTAACGAAGCCTCGTTTACTGAAAACACGTGACTTTGGCGTGACTGATTCAAAACAAAAGATTTGTAAAGGTTTCGAAGCTTGAAGCGTGTTTCGAAAGGCCCATCACCAGTGCCTGGACTTCCCCTCTCTTTAGAGCGGGTATTTGTGTATCTCGCTGTGTGCCCTGCATTCGTCGTCATGCTGATATCTGCAACCAATAAACTGCACATGGACCCTAATGCTCAAGCCTTCGCGTCACACTTAAGTAGAATGTCTAAAGTGGACTATCGAAGTGAAGCGTAATCGTATTATGTTCCACCGAGAAACTTTTTGTGTTTACTTGCAAAAGCACTGAAATGTAGTTTTTCCTCCCACCTCATATTATTTCCATCACAAGCGTCATGCAAGTGAACGAAAAGCTTCTGTTTCAACCCCCATCATGTAAATATAATGTTCTCTGCACGATCTGAAATAAGTAACATTTAAACATTTACATTTATGCATTTGGCAGACACTTTTATCCAAAGCGACTAACATTGCATTTCAAGATCTTCTTGCTTTCCCTGGGAAAAACGTTAGACGAACTATAATGTTTCTAAATAATGTTTTTGTGCTAACGTTTAGAGAACATTATTAAAGACCAGATAGCTTTAAACATTCTTTTATGTTACAGGAAGAACGTTTGTTCATATCTTTGACCGAACGTTCCCTGTCCGCTGGGATTATCCCACTGAACGTGTCTTTCTCTCTGTGTGTGTGTGTGTTCAGGCCGAGGAGGAGAGAGACGGCATGGAGAAAGTCAAACTGGACAACAAGAGGATTCTCTTCAACCTGCTGCCGGCTCACGTGGCTCAACACTTCCTACTGTCCAACCCCAGAAACATGGTGAGAGGACACAGCAGTGTCATGCGCACATTAATGCAGGAGAATGGTTGAGCTGACTGTCTGGTTCTCGTGTGGCAGGATCTTTATTACCAGTCCTATGCTCAGGTGGGAGTGCTGTTTGCCTCCATTCCCAACTTCAATGACTTCTATATCGAGCTGGATGGAAACAACATGGGCGTCGAGTGTCTGCGACTGCTCAACGAGATCATCGCGGACTTCGACGAGGTCATTTTCCTACTTTTACAGGACATCGGGAAACATTCCTGTGGTCATGCTGGCACTCCTGATCTATTTAAGTCCTGTTTCACCTGTTTTGCAGCTCATGGACAAAGAGTGCTACAAGGACATCGAGAAGATCAAGACCATCGGCAGCACATACATGGCAGCGGTGGGGCTGGTGCCCACCATTGGCACCAAGGTCCCTAAATCAGCTACATATTCAAAAATGCAGAAATACCCTCAGAACATCTGTGAACATGATTTGTTTCTCCTTTATAGGCGAAGAAATCCACTGCTGCCCACTTGAGCACCATAGCAGACTATGCCATTGAAATGTTTGACGTTCTGGATGAAATCAACTATCAGTCATATAATGATTTTGTCTTGAGAGTGGGTAAGCTTTGATAAACCTGGGGTGTTCGCCTCAATCCCTCCTCCAAATCTCCACGCTTTCTAGCATTTGTAAAGAGAAGCAAGAATTATACTTTAGAACCTTTTTATTAAATATTTGAGAAAAAATTACAAATCATATATTTATTCAGTTCATCATTTACTTGTGTATGTACAAACCTGTATGACTTTCTAGCAGTATTTTGAAAAAGCTTTCAGTGCTTTATTTCCCGTTCAGTGAAAGTCATTGTGGTTTGTTTTTTGCTGTTCTGGACACCACTGACTTTCATTGTACGAGCAAAACTGTAGAAACATTTAATAAAACGAGGTTTGGAATGACATTCCTATCATGAACTGATGTACAGTACATGTAAAACATGTCAAATGTACAGTATAACTTCAATGCAATATATGTTGCTCTGGATAAAAGTATCTTGGGTTTGCATAAATAAGGAAATAATGACAGAATGTTAATTTGTGGGTGAACTAAATATGTAAATTATATAAAACTATTAAAATGATTTCATACAAGTTTTACTATACTTCTTCTACAAGACACGGCAGTGACCAAATACAATAACCTCAAAATCAAAACCTAATTTCTGGAATCATATTTTGGGACATTATTTATTGATCAATCATTTGTTGACGTGCCCCATGTCCCCGTTCTCAGGTACATGTAGACGCTGTCGAGGATGTGCTCTGATGTGTGTGTGTGTGTGTGTGTAGGTATTAACGTGGGTCCAGTGGTAGCGGGGGTGATCGGGGCTCGACGGCCACAGTACGACATCTGGGGGAACACGGTGAACGTGGCCAGCCGAATGGACAGCACTGGCGTCCCGGGGAAGATCCAGGTACTGCTATATGCCAGACACCGGGATGCATGTGATTTATGTCTTCATGGGGGAATTTCACAAAAAACATGTCAAAAATTCGACTAATGGCTTAAACGAACGACTACTAGTCGACTAGAGAAATCTTTAGTTGAGGGCAGGCCTAATATTTACACATGTACGGGTAACACTTTACAATAGGGGTGGACCGGTACATGTATTCGTATTGAACCGAAACGGTACGGGCGTCACGGTTCGGTGCAGGAATTTACACGGAGAATACACGGTATAAAAATAAATAAAACTTTTATTGCAAATGAATTAATGTAATGCGGAACTACTGTTAGATACGCGGGTTCTTTAGGGACACATAATCTGTACCATCGGTTTAGCTCTGAACGCGCGTTCACTTCAAACGTTGGCTTTATACGCGCGTCCTATTCGCTATTACGCAAATTTGACGCTCTATTCGCGTTTGGTGTGACCGCATAATGGCTGCGATGTCAAGATTGCAATGCTGGAGTGTGTGTGTGTGTGTGTGTGTGTGTGTGTGTGCGCGAGAGAGAAAGGCGCGGGCGCGATCGAACAGTGGAAACATAAAAAACAAACTCCATCATTTTGTTCATACAGATCATTAAACCTGCAAAGTGTTTACTTTTATATTTGTGTACACTCGCAATAAAACACAACATTGTGCTTTTGTCACACTGTAAACTCTTGTCAAACTGTAACCTACAACTGTCACCCAACCAAAATCACACACACACACACACTGTTTTAAAAGCAAAACATATTTATCCAACTCCATCTTTTGGACATTCATCATATCGCATTGGTTTTCATTTCTTGTCCTCGGAGCACTAATCTTACACATTCTACATTGATTAAATTACATTGTTTTTAATGGTAGTATTATTTTATACAGAAATCAATTATTTATAATTCAGATGAGAATAATGTTACATTGTTAATTAATAATGTTAATTAAAATTAAGGAAAACAAATATATTGATCTGAAATATAGCAAAATAATTTTAAATTAATTCAGGTACAATAACCAAACATATCGCAAGGTCTTTTTGTCTTCTTTATTAATTTAATTAATTAACTAATTATATAAAACTATTGTCAGTGCACTACAAATAAACTGGTTCTATGCCTTTATTAATACAACTTATTTAAAAAATACAACGCCTTCTGCATTTTCGTTTTGCTTTTCCCTCCATCGTACCGAACCGTGATGTCTGAACCGAACCGTGACTTCTGTGTACCGTTCCACCCCTACTTTACAATAAGGTTCATTAGTTAACATTAGTTAATGTATTAACTAACATGAACTAAGCATGAGCAATAGATTTGTTACTGTATTTGTTCATCTTTGTTAATGTTAGTTCATTCAAATCCAGCTGTTCATTGTTTGTTCATGTTAGTTCACAGTGCATTAACTAATGTTAACAAGATTTTAATATTAAGTGATTTTAAATATTAGTAAATGTTGAAATTAACAAAGATTAATAAATGCTGTAAGTGCAGTTCATTATTAGTCCATGCTAACTAATGAACCTCATTGTAAAGTGTTCCCCACGCATGCAGAAATGAATATGTACGTACGTATATTGATTTGAACACAAATGCCTCTCCAGGTGACGGATGACGTCTACCGGCAGCTTCAGAACGACTATGATCTGGTGTGTCGTGGCAATGTCAGCGTGAAGGGCAAAGGTCAGATGCTCACGTACTTCCTGGAGGGCAAAGCGCAGGACGCGGGCATCCGAGCGCCCCATCACACCGGCGGCCTGGAGCGCAGGGTCCACGCCATCGCCCGCACCAGCAGCACGCAGACCAAGGCCGGCAGCAACTCGTCCGTGGCCTCGGGCTTCGCCGCCAGGCTCGGCATGAGCAGCACTGCAGGGACACACGCGCCCAGCTCCAATGTGCCTTCAGTCGGAGAAGAGGAGGAGACCAAAGAGGAGGAGGTGTAGGAGCCGCAGGTGCACAGAATCAGCTGTGTCTTCCCTTTCTAGCCAATAAGACATTCTAAGATGTATTTCCCTTGTAGTTCAAAATCTCCATTTGTTTTAAAAAAAGATTTTTTTTCGTGGGCATGCGAATGTTAATGGGTCGTTCCGTTTTATCATTTTGCAGACATTATGGGAACGTTACTTTTAAATGTTCTCTGAACGTTCTGAAAAAAGTAGTAACATTTCTAAAAAAACGTCCAACTAAACGTTTCAGGTAAAAACGTTCCATGAACGATGTATAAATAATGTATTTGTGCTGACGTTTTGAGAACGTTATTAAAGACCTGTAAACGTTCCTGGAAGAACGTTTGTTCGTAACTCTGAGAGAACCTTGACAGAACGTTCCCTGTTCGGCGAGTAAGCATTAGGATTCTCATCTGACAAACTGATTTACCTGTTCATTACACATCCCCGCTCTTAAAGACGTTTCACCATCACATCAGTTCCTCCTGGATAATTTCAGGCGCCGTCCCCACTCAAGGCATTGAAGTAAATGGGTTGTGAATGTCCACGTTCACAGAGACGCGAGTGGAAACACGACGGATTCTGTGGCGCTGCGGAAACGTTCAAAGCCTCAAGTGATCTTTTGCAAGGCATCATTTTTTTATGCATCCTAAGCCAACATCTTATATGAACTGTACATACTAGATGTTCTTACAATTAGAGTTTGTGCATTATTTTGTACGAAGCTCTCCAGTGCATTTGAATGAATGTGATAGAATGACACATTTATAACAGATAGACGGCAATAGAACAAGCACATGCTCTGCAGCGAAACTAACAGTGCACTGGGATTTTTAAATACATTTTCTCACAGTCTTCATCTTCATCACATTTCTAACAACACTGGAGAAATAACAATCAGCTCTCCAATGTTGATAACACATTTACAGCTGCACTCTGATTTAATAATAATACAATAACAATATATCTGATGCTTCCAAAGCCTTACATCAGGATACAGAGAGTTTATATGTAAAGTACGCATTGTTTCAAAGCAGTGTGTGTTTACAGAACAAGAGAAATCAGGGAGTTTAATAGCAGTCTAAAGAAAGTTCATCATCATCATCATCGGCTGCAGTCACACTGACAGACTGTTCGCACACTGTAAACTGCAATATGACATTTATATTCATACAGTTGGGTCCAACAAGTCTGATGCTATATTGCAAAGACGGTAACACTTTACTTGAAGGGGTGTACATAAGACTGATATGACACCTTTATAACCATGACATGACATATGAAGTAGGGTTTATGCATGTTTATGACAACTGTCATTAAGTGTCTTTCGCTCAATAATGACATTTTGAATGCAAATATGACATTGTTTAAGATGTCTTTGTTATGACATCTTGACATAAACCAATACATCATAACCTGTCAGTGTCTTTGTCATGACAACTTGACATTAAATTAAGTTAAAATGTCATGTGGTTGGTTTTGACATTGGCTGTCATGAGGCATTATAACTGTGTCATGAATATTTTTCTTGACCTCAACTACAGTGGTACACATTGAATTTGTCATTAAACAGTTATAATGCCTCATGACAGCCAATGTCAAAACCAACCACATGACATTTTAATGTAATGTTAACCCATAAAGCTAAGTGGTTTCTTAAATTTGATAATTAATCTGCTATGTCATGTTTATGACAGATTGTGTTGTCTTAGTAATGTCAAGTTGTCATGACAAAGACACTGACAGGTTATGATGTATTGGTTTATGTCAAGGTGTCATAACAAAGACATCTCAAACAATGTCATATTTGCATTAAAAATGTCATAATTGAGCGAATGACACTTAATGACAGTTGTCATAAACATGCATAAAACTTCCTTCATATTCATAACATGTGTCATGTCATGATTATGAAGGTGTCATGTCAGTCTTATGCACACCCCTTCAAGTAAAGTGTTACCGCAAAGACTTCTTCATTACACATTCTCTTATCAATGTAGAAATGAAGATGAATGTGTCAGTGTCTCAGCAGCTCGGGATCGATCCAAAGAGCATCTGACTGGATTCGTCACACAGAAATAGAGCACAATCGGAAATACTTATTCATTTAATGTCATAGCTTTTTAAATCAATAAAACGTTCCTTTTCTTTCCACGTTTGAAATTGCATTTTGAATCCCAGATCGTCAGACGTTTGGACCCCACTGTATACAGTAAATAGTGATATAGTGTGTGTTTAGCAGGGACAAACCTCAACATGCTGAATATGTGCCAATTTTATAAAATCTTAATCTGAAGTGTAATGATTGGACACGATTCTGTCATCAGCATTCACTTTAATAATGTCAACAGCTCTGTTAAAAGACTGAAGCTATTAGATACTATGTGTTTTCTACAGTATTGAGATGTTAGCGTGGTGTTTACTGAGTGCGGCGCCGCTTTGATGGTAATGAGGTCAGATGGAGAGGTCTATGGGGACACACGGGTGCAGTGAACATCTGTTGACATGGAGGTCAACAACCTGTCCATGACGAGCGCTGTCTCACACACACACACACACACACTATAGATCCCTCGCGACTGGTGCGTGTTTACAAGCACAAAGCCCATTCTCAGATTCTGTACATTTACGAGACTGTTTGTGAGTCATTGAAGAAGGGGAAACAATGATTCTGTCAATATTTCTATGGCAAATGTCTATTTTCATGCTGATGTTTTTGAGTCATGACGCTTTTCTTCAGGGTATGAATCGCTCTTTCAAATGCATCTCTGTACTGTCGATACAGTATTCTTGCCTTATTTGATGCTTGCGGTGGTTGAAGTCATTTGCCTTTTAGCTCTGATATACAGAAGTGTATTTTGTAAATACAGCGATGTATGATATACTGTCCTTTGTACAGTGTAAACCACAGCAATATAAGATTTTGTAATAAAGAGAGTATTGAAGTACAACGACTGTGTTTTCCTGTTTGAAGGCCATGAGACGTGACATGTCATAGATCTGTTGTGTATCTCCTGTTCGTGTTCTTTGTGCTTTTGTGTTGTAGTCTTTTAGTTTGTAGTTTTGCTTTGTTTGGTGTGTCTTGTCAGTCTTATTACTCGTGTATAAGCCCTCGTGTTTCTTCTGTGTTTCTCCTTCTGTGATGGTGTGTTTAGTTCTGTTTTCCATGTTTGATATCTTTTGGTCATTATTATAAAAATATATATATCTGCATTTGTATCCTCTCTTCCTTGTTGTCTGAGTTCACATAAGCATTACAAGTTCAAACCCCTTTACACACTCCAGCTGTCATATAAATTCATACTCGATGTCGTACATGCCTTACATTTACATGGCCTTTATTTGCATGATTTCTAATCAGATGCAGTGATTCATAATGGGCTCTTCTTCTGACTCAAGTCACTGTGACTCATCCGTCCACATTCATAATGAGAACATAATCACAGTAAGTGGATTCACTGGGATGTTGCAGACATTTAATTAGATTCTAGAAGCATTATTACATTTGGCACAAACCGTACAGTTTTCCTGTCTGCCTGAGTGGATTGCGTTTGTTGCTCCGTTTTAATCTCTATTCCCTATCTTTCCTTGCTGTTTATATTGCTTAGTATAACTTAATCATAACAATATATCTGATTTTATCTAATATTGTCTGTCACATTAACCTGACATCGCTAGCTTTAATCTAAATTCAATTCAATTCAAATTTATTTGTATAGCGCTTTTCACAATACATATTGTTTCAAAGCAGCTTTACAGACAGTGCATTTCAGAAATGTACATAGAAAAATACAGTTAGTTAATCATGTATTAATTTAGGGCATAACATATCGCCGGCGTTGAGTCGTCTCTTCACAGGCGTGTAGCCGTCTCTTCACAGGCGTCGAGTCGTCTCTTCACAGGCGTCGAGTCGTCTCTTCACAGGCGTCTAGTCGTCTCTTCACAGGCGTTGAGTCGTCTCTTCACAGGCGTGGAGTCGTCTCTTCACAGGCGTCTAGTCGTCTCTTCACAGGCGTTTAGTCGTCTCTTCACAGGCGTCGAGTCGTCTCTTCACAGGCGTGGAGTCGTCTCTTCACAGGCGTGGAGTCGTCTCTTCACAGGCGTCGAGTCGTCTCTTCACAGGCGTCGCTGTCTCTTCACAGGCGTCGAGTCGTCTCTTCACAGGCGTGTAGTCGTCTCTTCACAGGCGTCGAGTCGTCTCTTCACAGGCGTCGCTGTCTCTTCACAGGCGTCGAGTCGTCTCTTCACAGGCGTGGAGTCGTCTCTTCACAGGCGTGGAGTCGTCTCTTCACAGGCGTGGAGTCGTCTCTTCACAGGCGTCGAGTCGTCTCTTCACAGGCGTCGAGTCGTCTCTTCACAGGCGTCGAGTCGTCTCTTCACAGGTGTCGAGTCGTCTCTTCACAGGTGTCGAGTCGTCTCTTCACAGGTGTCGAGTCGTCTCTTCACAGGTGTCGAGTCGTGTCTTCACAGGTGTGGAGTCGTCTCTTCACAGGCGTCGAGTCGTCTCTTCACAGGCGTCGAGTCGTCTCTTCACAGGCGTCGAGTCGTCTCTTCACAGGCGTCGAGTCGTCTCTTCACAGGCGTCGAGTCGTCTCTTCACAGGTGTCGAGTCGTGTCTTCACAGGTGTGGAGTCGTCTCTTCACAGGCGTCGAGTCGTCTCTTCACAGGCGTCGAGTCGTCTCTTCACAGGCGTCGAGTCGTCTCTTCACAGGCGTCTAGTCGTCTCTTCACAGGCGTCGAGTCGTCTCTTCACAGGCGTCGCTGTCTCTTCACAGGCGTCGAGTCGTCTCTTCACAGGCGTGTAGTCGTCTCTTCACAGGCGTCGAGTCGTCTCTTCACAGGCGTCGAGTCGTCTCTTCACAGGCGTCTAGTCGTCTCTTCACAGGCGTCGAGTCGTCTCTTCACAGGCTCTTCACAGGCGTCGAGTCGTCTCTTCACAGGCGTCGCTGTCTCTTCACAGGCGTCGAGTCGTCTCTTCACAGGCGTCGAGTCGTCT